TCCTCCATGTCCTGCAACAACACAAACTCAAGCGGAAAAATTCAGCACCAGCTGTATCAGCGTGTTGAAAAGCACACTAGAAACAGCGTAGTTCAGACTTTCAGCAGCCAAGAATAAATTCTTGTAGATAGTTTTGACTTCGAAATACACTGTGTTTCTGCAGAGCGCAATGCGTAGCACGATGTTTACTAATCGGAGTACGAACTCTCTATGATTAAATTCAGGCTTGGTTCATTCTTTATATTGTTATTATTACCTGCACTTATGTTAAGCCACGCCTCCCGGCGGATCTAAAACATGTCTGTTCTGCATCACTTCATCTACACGTTTCTACTTGTAAACCACATATGAATGTGAATAAATGAGGTAGAGACGCTGCAAGTCTCCCAAAATCTGCAATCGAAGCTGACCAGCACATTCAAGTTGACCCATTTTCAAAAATTTCTCACCACCAAAGTGAAAAGACTGGACAGTTGAAATTTTGTCCAGTTCTAATCATGATCAACCGCTGCAAGAGCCCGAAATTTCGAGCTAACCAGGCAGAAGAATAATTTTACAGAATTTAACAAAGCTGCTGTCGAACATGACTTGGAATTTGAAATTGAGGCATTTTCAAAAAATGTTCACCCCCAAACTGGAGCGACTGGACAGTACAAATTTTGTCCAGTATTAACCATGATCAATGGCTGCAAGTGTCCCAAATTTCGAACAAAACACACTGCAGAATAATTTTGCAGGAATTGATAAACCTGCAGTCGAACTTGATGAGAACTTTCAAGTTGAGGCATTTTCAAAAAATTATCACCTCCAAACTGAGGCGACCGGATACTTGAAATTTCGTCCAGTTCTACTCATGATAAAACGCTGCAAGTGTCCCAAATTTCGAACTAAACGGGCTGCAGAATGATTTAGCAGAATTTAAGAGCTCAGCGATCGAAGCTGACCAGAATGTTCCAGTTTATCCATTTGGGGGCTGCAAGTGACCAAAATTTCTACCTGCTTGTATTGAACAATTATTTTGCAACAACTTATAAACCTACAGTTGAGCCTGGCCAGAAATTTCAATTCGATTGCGCCAGTTTCCAAAATTGTGCACCTCCAAACTGGAGCAACTAAATACTTGAATTTTTGTACATTTGTGAATACTATCAGCGGCTAAAAATACCGAAAAATGTAATCTTAACTGGCTGCAGGCTGATGAAAAAACTTTCTAGCTGGGCAATTTTTAAACGTAAATCTGAAGCACCTTTGATATGGACTAATACCTACCTAAAAGCGTATCTAATAGTTCTAATAATCTTTCAAGAACCTTTCTATTTAAGTATTTAAACGAATCGCCTGCGAAATATATGCACAAGTGCTAAATATGTTCTGGTTGCTACTTGTGGGTTTTTTTGCGGTGTTGGAGTGCACGGTATTGGTAGATCGCTTTAAACTTGCATGGGGTAAAGAATCAGGATTTCCAGGCTGGAGACATTCTGGTCACGACTCCCAAAGGAACAGTGCGAGGCAGGTCGCTGCTGAGTCCAGCAAACCGGACTTTCTATGGATTCACTGGAATTCCTTTTGCCAAGCCGCCAGTAGGCGAGCTGCGTTTTCAAGTAGGCACCAAAATACCCTTCAACCAACCCTTAAATAATTATCGAACTTTAGGCTCCAGTTGAAGCAGATCCTTGGGAAGAAATCATCGACGCAATTGCGGATCCCGATAAGTGCTTCCAAGTGAACAGCGATTCCGACACGGAAAACGAAAATTGTTTGTACGTGAATGTTTTCACTCCGCAGCTGGAATTGGTGAGTGAGCACCAAAACCTGGCTCTAGCAATAGAGCTGTTCAATGTACCGATTTAAGTTTGTAGGAGTTTGAAAGTGTGGTGGAAAGCTTTTCCTCATGGTAAAGAAGTGCGATCAAAAACACTTGACAAGTTATGAAAAATATATTAAAAACTGCTTCGAAAAATGTGACCAAAGAAGTATTCTGGAATAATTGTAATTTATAATAAAAATAATTTGGAATACCAAAAAATTGTCACCTTATCAAAAATTCTACTCGAAAACCAGGTTTCCGCGGTTAGACAATTCCCTACAGGGTGTCCCGTAAGCACATGAACAATAATTCTTTACATCAAAAAAAGACAATCTGACGTAACTTTTATTAACAAAAAATGTCTGGCATTTAAAACCCTTCAAGCGATCTTAAGCACTTTTTTGCTTGAATTTGAATTGCAAATTTATTTGAATGTAATTGACAATCTGCACTTGGAGCCACTAAAAATACTACCGCCGATGTTTCTTTGCTTCATTATTCGGGTGTTTCTCAAGCGATTGTCGGCCTTAAACCTTCCTTATAAAGCCCTTTAAATATACTTTAAATTACCTTCAGACACTTTATTAGTTGCGTCTTAAGTGGCAAAACCAGACAGTAATTTAGGGGCTGCTTTTGAAGATACTTATGCAACAAGCTGCGATGTCTCTTCTCGAGCTGATCACTCGGTTGTTTTGCCAGTAATTGTGACTAGAAAACGAGCATTTTGAAGCATTTTAAACCCTTCAAGCGATCTTAAGCAATTTTTTGTTTGTGGTGATTGGAAAGACGTATTTTTTGTATCTTTAACTGCTTTTTTTGCTTCTACAATAAATTTTTAGACACCATGTAAGCAAAATTTTACTAAAATGGCGATAATCTGCCAACGTTGCAAGTAAGAAAAAAACAATTAACGGTGCATATGCAGCGTTTCAAGCTGCATTTCTCGCACTAAAAATCCACCCTGTCTGCAGTTAAAATTACCACGTCTAATTAAACGCAAAAAAGTAAACCCGATGGGGAAATAGCTAATTCAAAACCAGCAGTAAAAGCACAATAAGAAATTGTTGCAGACTAACTGAAAACTTTGTACGAAAATATAGTTGTATTTAAAACTTTTCTTCACGCCTCTAAGTGATCTAAGTGCTCTGCGTGGAGCCAAAGAATGCGCAGTTTAAGCCACTAAAAAACCTAACATTTAACGTTAAAATCCCAAGTTTTCTAATTAATCAGGTAGAAAAACGGAGCTTGAAACTTTTCGAAAACTGCCTAAATTCCATCAATATTCCAGGCCGACAGCATCACAAAACTGCCAGTGGTTCTAGGAATCTATGGAGGATCCTTCCGCAGCGGATCTGCTGGATATGGGCGTGGCGGACCTGATTGGTTCATTGAAAGGTACTACTTTAAACCTCCACAGGTAAAATGACGCATTTCCGACCCCATCTCCTCAGAGACATTGTGGTAGTGAACTTCAACTATCGAGTGGGACCCTTTGGGTTCCTGTCCACTGGAGACACAGTGATTCCTGGCAATGCGGGCCTTAAGGACCAACAGCTGGCCCTGCAATGGACCTACGAAAATATCGAGCTGTTTGGAGGCAACAAGAGCCACATCACCTTGCAGGGACAAAGTGCTGGCGGAGCTTCCGTTACTTATCAACTTTTGAATCAGAAATCGGCCGGTATATACAAAACGCTCAGTATATTTCAATGCTGTTAACGGGAATGATATCTTTCCAGGCATGGTAAAGCATGCTTTGGTTGAAAGTGGGTCAGCGCTCTGCCCGTGGGCCTGGACAAGGGACAACTTGCCCTACACTATCAGATTGGCCAAAACTGTTAATGATGGCGTTGCTCTTACCAACACGTCCACAGCGTTTCTTCTGGAGTTTCTTCAAAGTGCTACCGCTCGCCAAGTGGATGCTGCTTCAGCAGCTTTGTATTCTTCAGTAAGTGCCGCCTTTCACATAGTGAACTGGAAGCAAACACAAATTAACTTCCAGGGTATTCCTTTGCCTACCTTGGAACCGGAGCATGAGGGGGCGTTCATCACTCAACCAATGTACGAGTTGGTGGAGGCTGGGGATGTTGTGAAAGTGCCCCTTTTCATCGGCATTAATTCAGAGGAATATATTGGCAAAGCTGCAAGTAAGCGGAACTAACTAAAAACAACAGCTGGGATGTTGACTATTTCCTAAACAAAATTTTAGATATCCCAAGTCTGCAGGTAGAGGCTCAGGGCTACGACCAAAAGCCTCTTTCCATCGTTCCATGGCAATTCGACGAAGAATCCGAGGAAAACAGACTGGCAATAGCCAATCTAATCAAGGGAGCTTACGTGGGAGAGGACACTTTTGCACAAAAGCTGGGCTCAACTGTTTCAGTCAGTACTCAACTACAATCTCATTTGCGCTCGTTATCCAGGTGTTTTTCAGTACGACAGTGACTCAGTTTTCACAAAATCCATCATCAGGTTCGCGGAACTCTACGCCAAATACAGCCCAGTGTACTTTTATCAGTTCTCCTATAAAGGTGAAATGGGGATTTATCAGTATTCTATTGAAGGTAAAAGATTGGGAGAAAGTTGCCAACGTTCCAAGAAATCGATTGGTGTGCTTTAGGTGCCGATAATGTTGCGCATGGAGAAGAATCCCATTATTTATCCATAACGAAGGCGGGGTCTTTCGACAATACGAAGTATGACAATTTTCCAGCCAGCGATGTAATCACGCATTGGAGGCTCATTGAATTGTGGTCCAACTTCTACAAATATGGGTAAGTATTGGGCCATAAAACCCCTTTAAAAAGTGTAATTTTACTAAAAAGACTCAACGCAGAGCTAAGACATGTAGAAACGCCACAGAAAGTTAAAAGGTTTTCATTATTTTTGAATATCGGCGTATACGCAAGGTGTTTTTTTTTATCTTGAAACAGTTGAATATTTCGCAAACATTTCAAATAAGAAGTTAATATGTGGCAGGGGGAAGTTGATTAGTGTCAGATAAACAACGCCTACTTCGACCTTGTAGCAGGCCTGGGTAACACTGTGTTGTTGAGCTATTGAGTTGTTGCCGCTCTCTGAGTTAACGAGTTATAACTCATCGGTTAATGGGTTATAAGCCATTTATGGCTTTACGAGACCCGAGACTGGAATTTTCCCATTTAAAAAAAAAGGTCAACATTTTGCCTGAGTAACGTTTTACAACTTTGTTCCAACAACGAAAAAAAAAAGTTGATTTTATCAGCAGCACAACTGAGTCCAAAGAAAGTCGACGAGTTTTCTTCTAAAAACGATCTCTTAATTTTTTTGCAAAAAAGATTCAGTTTCCCAGTATTTTACAGTAAAACGTTAGGAAAAACGCTGTTTTTCTGTTTAGAAACAGTGTTGTTTGGAAATAGAAATATACATTTTTTATTGACCTAAAAGTAAAGAAACTACAGTTTCCAAGGGTTTTCCAAATAAGTGATTATAAACTTTTGCTTTTTCAGTTCGGGGAAATATTTTTGGAAAAAGACGCAGAAATATTTATTAGGGTTTTGTCCAAATTCGAAGCTGCAAAAAGTTTTTCAAAAATTTTTGCAAAGCGGTTATGTAGGCGAATGTTCCAATAAAATTTGTTTTACAATTTTTCACAAAAAATACCTGAAAATTATCAGTATTTTATGTAAAACTAAAAAATAATACGATTTTTGCGTAGAAAACATTGTTAAAACTGGAGTAACCTGAAAATTTAAAGGAACTTTAAAAATCTTCAGAGCAATGAGGATGGCAAATTTTCCAAATATTTTTTGTAAACTTTTGCTATGGTCGTTTCTTCAATTTTTTTTTACTTTCGGTAAAAAACTGAATAAATTTATTCGATTTTTGTACCAAATTCGAAGCTGAAATGGGTTTTCTAAAGTCCCTGCAAGCAGATGAATGAGGCGAATTTTCTGGCAAAATTAATTTTGTAATTTTTGGCTGAAAAAACTCGTTTAAAAACTTTTTTTAGTTTTAGTCCCCAATTCGACGCTGAAAAAAGCTGAGAGAACGGCTTTCAACGAAAATTGAACATTTAGAAGAAACTAGTAGTAACTTGGCTGAAACTGGAAAATTCTGAAGTTTTGAAGAAATTTTAAAAATATTGTTAATAAAATTTAAAATAAACCTAAAAACAAGTAAAAAAAGTCATCAACATTTTCCCAGCACCGCAACTGAGTTACTGCGCTGGTGCGTTGAGTTGGTGCACAAACCAGATGCCTACCACTGCGCCAACTCCTAAAAATTCACTGCGTTACCCAGGCCTATCTTGTAGGCGTGGCAGGGGCCAACTTGAGAGTTTCCAATGGTAACCACAAGATTTTACTGAAGATTCGAGTAGTACGTCAAAAAGTGAGAATAATTTATCTAAAACATTTTCTTTTGATTTTGACAGGTGGAGGGTTTTTTTTATTTTGTATTATTTTTATTTTCGGACCGAATATTCCTGACATTAATAGATGCTATTGGTAACACTAAAATTTTCTGCGTTTCAATAAAATAATAGATAGTTTAGCAGATCTAAAGCAAAAAAACTGATAATTGATGGATCGTGGCATCGTGATCTGAAAAAGTCGAAGAAAATGTTTTGGATAAATTAATCTCACTTTTTGACGTACTATTCGAACCTCCAGTAAAATGTTGTAGTTGCCATTTGAAATTCTCAAGTTACCCGGTGCTTAATCCACAAGAACAAAGTAGGCGTTTTTTTCGTGACACAAATAAACTCCCCCCTCCCAGATACTAACTTCTTATTTGAAACATTTTTTTCTCGGATCACTCGTTTCCGAAATATTTCAATGTTTCAATATAAAAAAACCACCCTGTATATTTGGCCACGCCATTTGGTGGAGCTGCATAATTTACCGGTTGAAAACCTGACTGTTGCAATTCGTTAGATATTTCCTCCAAAATATTAATTTTTAAAGCAAAAGTAAACTTTCAACAAACAAAAACGCATTTAATTAACCGAAAGTCGTCGCATTGACCAATTGAAGGATCAATTGCTTCAATTGGCCACGCCTCCGTGGTGGAGCTGGAATCATCTTTTTGTAGTCAAAAATATTATTTTCTAGTAAAAATGCGTTTTTGTTTCAATACAAAATGAAAAATTTGAAAGCGTTTGACCTGAATTTTCTTAATTATTTTAGAAATCCCACTCCAGAGCCCGTGGAATTGCTCTCCAACTTAATTTGGCCCGTCGTCTCTGAAGATAACTTTGTCTACTTGAATATCAACGAAACGTTGGAACTGAAAGACACCCCAAAGTCGCCACGTTACAACGCTTGGAGAAGCGCATTCAATAATTACGGCCAACGTCCCTTTATTGTTTATTAATTACTGAAATAAAAAATTGATAAAAAAATAAATTGCTCATTTTGTTTGGTTTGTTTTTTTGTTATGTTCCTGTTTAAGTTTCTTAAATATGTTTTTATTTCGCTATTATTTTCCTTTTTTTTGGTGCAATTTCTAATACATATACACAATTAGAATTATTGATTCAAATTTTAAGAAAATTGGAATTTAGTGACTGTGCAAAAATCCATTGATCTCCTACATAGCACCTTAAGGGGCAAGTCTGGGAACTTTGCCGCTTATTTTGAACCATCAAAGTCGTTTAAAATAGAAGTTAGTTAGAAGAAGAATAGTATGTAGTCTGTGTATCAGTCTTTATCTATGCAGAAGGTTGCCAAGCTGGAAGTTAGTCGTGGGCATATAAACGAACATTTTTGAACTGAAAAACACTGTTTTAGGCGTTTGATTATTTGCCAATACGGGGCCCAGTTAAGCTGAAAGGCCCCGATGTCGGTCTGCAGTATATTGAGTTTTACGGCACAAGAGCAGTCAAAATCCCAACTACGCCCTATGAAGTATTTTTCGGAAGGAATGTAAGTCTGATGGTGTTTCGAGCTGCCAGCTGAACATTCATGAGTCTACAGGGCCTGTTTTAGGTGGCAAGTGGCCTCAGGCAGCTCTTAAAGAAGCTCTCATTGAAAACCAGGAAGTTTATTGGAAACACCAGCATGGATCCGCAGCTCTCATTGCTGATGGCAAATCAAGCTCAAGTGAATAGTGGCAGTATTATTTTGGGCCCATTTGTAGGCTACGGATCTTTGTTGGTGGCTGTTGCTGAGTTTGGTGTCTATGTTTTCGAATCTGATATCGACTATTTGATGTTACATGGGAAGACAAAACCGACCAGGATTAAACAGCAGGTGCGGCTTACATTTTAATGTTTTTTGGGTGTACAGAGCGAGACTGAATCTCTTTTTGAATTCTACGAATCATTAGTCTTTGCGATAGAGTTTTTCCTAATTATAGAAAATTGTTGAAACATGCTGCTTTATAGAAAAGAGCCAAGGACGAGAGTATCAAAGCCAACATAAAACAATACAACTTAAGCCACAAATACATTGATGTGTTAATAAACGACTTCAGCCTGTCCTTTTGGAGAGATTCCATGGAATTCGATGCCATAATAACAGACCGTACGCCGAATGAGCTGTGAATCAATCAGTTTTGACTAAATTTGTTTCCTTTGCAGCTCCTTATGGAATCAGAGAAGCCACCGAGAGAGTGGGAACGGAGAAGCAAAATTACATAGTCAGCGATGAACATTTGCCCACTCACGTACCCGCAAAAATCGAATACGGAATTCCCAGCATCTACCGAGACTTGCTGATATTCGCATCTAAACACTTGAGACTAGAAGGACGACTAGTTTGCTGGTTTCCAGTATTCAGGTAAGAATGTTCACACAACCCGCGAAAAAATCAACTATAATCGACAATTGCAGGGAAGATTATACGGAAAAATGCCTGCCCAGGCATCCCTGCTTGACTCTGATCGCCAATTCCGAACAGCCGCTCAGCAAAGTGACCTCAAGAAGACTGCTGACGTACAAAAAAGTGAAACGTTCCTCTGTGGACGAGCTCAACATAAAGGATGCGAACATTCAGGACTTCAGGGACAAATACTTTGTGGTTCGGGAAGAGTGCAGAAGGGTGAAGCGCCAAAAGGAAGCTGCTCTTCGAAAGTATTTTACTTACTCTATGGTAGAGCATAGAACATATAACAAGGCTTCTCTATCTTTAAAAATGTAGAAGTTACTCATACAAAGATTTAGAAAATGGCCACCCTGTATAGACTGAGACAACATTTCTTTAATAATAATATTTTTATCGAAATTTGGCTTGGATACGGTGTAGATATTACTATTGCTTTTTTAGTAGGAAAAAACGTTTGATTTACTATTTTCTTGCTAGCAGGACAAGCAGATTTTCATTTAAATTGAAATTCCTTTGCTTGGCACGTTTGATTTTCTGCTACACCCTTACAATTGAAAATTTTTCCAATAAAATCTGAATCTTCTGAAAACATTTTTGATTCTATATTGGAGAGCAACTGAATAGCAGCATTTTTCAACAAGCTTCCGTTCTTCTGACCTTAGTTTTGTACGTAAAACAGATTGTTGTAAAATTTCGCTCATACGTGTGGCATTTGTAGCATCTATCGTATCAACAGGTGGCACTTGTAATTGGTTATTGTCATGAAATGCAATAAAAAGAACATGCTTACATATCATATTTTTGATTTGGTAATCTAAACATGTGCATTGAAAGACATGCCAACAAATCTTGCAATAAGTACATCTTATTTCACAACATATAAGTGAGTCTGTGCGCGCTATGTGGCACCCAAGGGCATCCAGCCAGCTGGAGGGGATGCCATGTACCCCAAAAGGAACAAAAGGAAGATTCCGGTCGACCGCAAAGACAGGAAAACAACCTCAAAAAGGACCACCCCTAGCAGCAGTACGCAGGAACAAGTAGCAGCAATGGACAGGGAGTCCTTAGAAGCCATTGTCCAGGCGGCAATATCCCGGCTCCATGCCTAAACGGCCTGACAGTTTCACAGTAGCGTCAATGGGCTAAGAACTCGCCGTCCAGAGCTGGACGAGTTCCTGAACAACAGGAATCCTGCAGCAGTAGCACTCCAGAAAACCAAGGTAGCAAGTAATATTAGAATTAATATACAAGATTATGAGGTTTACAGGCACGACGACAGCACCCAACGTGGAGGAGTGGCCCTCCTAATTAGGAAGGACATCGACCATCACAGCATAAAAGTAGAGGACACAGACATACACGCCATCAGCGTGCAAGTCAACAACTCCAAAGGGCCAGTAATTGTTACTTCTGTTTACAGAGCTGCTCAGGAAGCCCTGAACCTGCTGGACATCCGGACAATGTTAACAATGGACAATGGAACAATAAAGCCAGGCTGTTGATAGGCGACCTAAACTGCAAAAACACGGAGTGGAATAGCACTCGAACCTGCAGTAAAGGCCGACTGTTAGCAGAAGCAGTAGATGCCTAAGGTGGAGTAATCCTGGGCCCAGAGATCCCGACAAGGATCTCGACAGGATCGGAAAGATGCTTTCACCAATATTCTCTTGAAAGAGGCGGACGAAAGGCCAAGGATTGAAAGGATCAAGGCGGAAGTGGGAAGCATGTTTAGTCCTGGCGTTGGTCTGCCAGATTATTGCAATATTTTGTGAAAGTATACAGGGTGTTTGAGAATGGCGTTGTTCATTTTAAGGTGCTAAAGTGAAACTTAATTGGCACAAATTGTAATTCAAATTACCTCGTAGGAAGTGGGAATGGTGACATTTTCGCCATCATCAGAAGAACTATCGATGCTGAAAGTTCCGTAAAAATCCATCAGAGTTACGATTTTTACCAGCTTAGTACAGTAAGTAAAGTTAGTCTGAAAATTGATGTTTTCAGTCAAGTACATTCACTCGCCTAAAAATTCGCAGCTCCCAAACTAGAGCAATTAGCAACTTGAAATTATCACTATCTTTAGAAGATGCTTGATTCTCAAATTTCTGAAAGTTTCATTAAAATCGCCCCCAAACCTGGTCTTTGACAACTTGAGAAGTATTGATCACAAACCTCATGTCTTCAGTCAAGTACGCTCTGTCCTTTAAAAATTCGTCGCTTCCAAACTGCAGCAAATACCAACTTGGATCTTTCACAATCATTACAAAATACTTGGCCCTAACGATGGTGAAAATTTCATAGAAGTCACCTCGAACCCTATTTTTTTCCAGCTTAGTAAATGTTGGTCTCAAAAAATGTCTTCAGTCAAGCGCGCTTCCTTGTCTAAAACATCGCAGCTTCCACGTTCAAGCAACTAGATATTTGAAATTCACATCCTCTTTCGAAGAGGATGTGAATCTGACTCTAAAGAAGCTGAAAGTCTCATAAAAGTGGCCTGAAATTTAGATTTTTTCCAGTTTAGTAAATGTTGACCTCAACATTGATATTTTCAGGCAAATACGCTCTCTTCTTTAAAAAATTGTAGTTTCCAAATTAAAGCAAGCAGCAACGTGAAAATTTCACCATCTTTAAAAGACAGTTCTTTCCAAGTATTGGAAAAATTTCAGAAAAATCCTCCGAATATTGAATTTTGCCAGTTTCGTAAAAGTTGGTCTCAAAATTGATATCTTCTGGCAAATACGCTCTCTTCTTTAAAAAAATCATAGTTGCCAAATTAAAGCAAGTAGAAACGTGAAAAATTCACCATCTTTAAAAGACAGTTCATTCCAAGTATTGGAAAAATTTCAGAAAAATCCACCGAATATTGAATTTTGCCAGTTTCGTAAAATTTGGTCTCAAAATTGATATCATCTGGCAAATACGCTCTCTTCTTTAACAAATCGTAGTTTCCAAATTAAAGCAAGTATTAAGCAACTTGAAAATTTCACCATTAAAAAAAAAGAAGAAAGGACGCCACTGCGCGGGACTAGAACCACAACAAACTGGGTAAAGTTCAAAGAGCTCACACACCTACTAATCGAAATTCCGCAGGTAGAGGATGAGGGGCAGCCATCCAACAAGCGCATGGCAAAAGCTCGGTGACTACAGAATTGTCGGTGGTTCGGGAAGAACTCCCGGTCGCCATCCGCAGAAAAATCACCAACCATAGAAGACTACGCAGGACATTCCGCAGACATCCCACAGAAGAAAACAGAATCGCCCCTAACCGACAAGGGCAACTGCTGAAAGAAGCCTTACTGAAGCACAGGAACCAGAAATGGGAAAACCGCTTGGGAGTTGAAACCTGAGGACCAAAGCATATGGAGTATGCAAAAGGCCCTAAGAAGAGAAGGTACCAAAATTCCAGCTCTCCACGGAACTCAAGGTTTGGTATTTACAGATGGCGGCAAAGCTGAGGCGTTTGCGGAAGCGATCGAGAGTGAGGCCAGGGTAAACCACCACCCAAACGATGACCTACACCACGAAGCAACTGTCAGAAGGACAGTAAATAAGCTTCGGAGTGAAAAGTCAGCCAGCCACCTCCCCCCAACTTCGCCAGCAGAAGTTGCAGCCATCATCAGAAGAACCAAAGCTAAGAAAGCCCCTGGAAGAGATGGAATCACCAACAACATGCCGAGAAAAAGACTGGTCGCTGTAGCTAACTTGATTAATGCGATTTTCAGGACTGGTCATTTCCCAAGCATCTGGAAACAAGTCATCATGCTCCCGGAGCCCAAGAAAAACAGGACTTTCCTCCAAAACTACTTTTACTACAAGAAAAGGGTTATACTGAGGAGAATTAAGGAGGAAACGAGCGAGCTTGATTTGCTTCCACCAGAACAGTTTGGATTCCGAGGAAAGCATTCCACGGAACTTCAGCTGCTCAGGATAGTAGCAAGATGCACCAAAAAAATGAATCAGTACCGAACGACTGAATGTCGAAAGAGCGTTCGACAGAGTGTGGAGAGACGGTCTCATCTACAAGATGATGGAAACAGGTAATAACAAGAAACTGTGCCAGTTAATAGACAGTTATATTTGCAGAAGGAGCTTCAGCGTCAAAGTTGGAGGTCACCGGTCAGAAACTAGAAGCACTGAGGCAGGAGTACCGCAAGGAGCAGTGCTCTCCCCACTGCTATACAACATATATACAAGCGACATTCCAAGACCTGCCAATAGGAACCTGGCACTCTTTGCAGATGATACGGCCCTTCTGACATCCTTATGGCGCAATGACTGCATTAGGCAACAGCTCCAGCTTGCAATTGACGAACTACATCAATGGTTCATCAAGTGGAAGCTGAAGATAAATGCAGAGAAGAGCCAGGCCATACTTATTGGCAGGAAGCAGGACAGTGTCGATGGCAACATCACCATAGAGGAACAAAACATCAAATGGGACAGAGATACTAAATAGTTGGGTGTTGTTTTAGATAAGCAGCTGACCTGGAACAAGCACATAAAAACAGCCATCGACAAGGTTAAGGCAACAACTGCCGAGTTGTACCCACTCCTCAATCGAAGAATCATCGTCCGACTCTAAGCCGTTCAATCGGGAAAATGCGGAGCAAAGTCAAGATGCAAGGTTAATGAAACAAAGAACAAACATTCCAAGCCATTGAAAGCATGGCTTTATTCCCCAGCTAATCCTATCTCTTATTTCTGCGACCTTTTCCCTTAGATTTGCCCTTGCCCTTGCCCTTCTTCTGCTTCCTTTTCTTGCGTTCCGCAATTTCCCTGGCTTTGAGAATCTGGTCCATGCTCTTCATGTCCGAGGAGCGCTTCTTCAGCTTTTCCTTCTCGTTGTGTTTCGCCCAGTGCGTGTGGCGTCTCGGCCCATTAACATCTGCAAATCCAACTAGTTAAATGACTTTCAATTGTATTGAGACAACGTTTCACCTTGCGGAGCGCTGCCCTCATCGCCATAATCATCATCATTAGCTCCAGTTTTGGTTTTCTCTTTCCATTGGGCGTATCTGTCGCTCTTGTAAGTGGCTGGAATCCAAGCGCCGCTTTCCGTTTTGATTTTACCTTTTCTCGGGTTCTACAGCGAAAACCAGTGAATATTTCCACGGGCTGGACAGAAAACGAACTTACCTCTACCCCGACCATCTTCTTCTTCTTGCGGTCCCACTTTTTCTTCACGTGGCTCGAGTTCATGGCTTCCTCTGAGTCGCCGGTCAAGTCGAACTGCACTTTGTTGGCTTCATTATGGAAATTATTCACTATCAAGCTGAAAATGCCACAGTTTCTCGGTTTGAACTTTAGGACTTTGTTGAAACTTACCCTTGCTCGGTATGATGGTCCTTGGGGGCATAGGGGATGTAGACTTCGTCTACTGTTTTGGGCTTTTTGGCTTTCTTGTACAGCTGTTCCATTTTGCGCTTCTTCGGCACGATTACGCTTTTGAATGTGCCTTCGATGTCCTCTTTGGAACTCTCTAGACCCCAAAGATGCAGAAACTATCGAAGTTTAAACCATCTTGCTTACCTGTTAGAGACGTTACTGGTTCGTGGAAGCTTTCGCTTTCGTCCGGGTCGGTCTCATGCCGCTGCCTAAACAATTCGATCTTGTGCTTATCGGCCAACCTTTTCTTTTTCATCATCAGATATTCCGGCGATTTGTTTTTGCCACATATTTCGAAAATTGTCTAAAACGTAGAAAACAATTACTGGATTGAACGTTTTTTTATTTATTTAACTTTACCCCGTTGGGGCGATAGTTTCTAATTTGATCCAACAAAAGGTCTCGATGATATTCATCCCCGTTTGTTCTGAATGCTGGATGAACAGCACAATTGCTCAGATTCAACTGTTTAATGCGGCGATGACTGTCGGATGAAGCCGCAGGCCGCGATTTTACGTACTTCTTATACGCGTTCTCTATCGTTGTTTGCGCCGACGTCTGCAATATCACAAACGCATAAATTAAGAAATTTTCAGGACCGTAAAAAACCCACCAAATCCAGCTGATTTTCATGCAACACTATCAAAGAGCTCAAATGTTCGTCCACCAGATCCTGCGGGATTCTGCCAATAGTCCCTTCTTTCTTCTTCAGAGTTGCTATGGACAGCGGGCGCCCCAAAAACAGATGTAAATCCACCAGATAAGCCTGTTCGTCTGAGGCTATGAGGGAATAGGCTATTCCCGATCTTCCAGCTCTAGCGCATCTTCCTACGAAGATTTAAAAGGGAATAATCAGCAAAAAAAATGGGCGCTGGATACGCACCGACTCTGTGGACAAACAGCTTGGGTTTAGCCGGGAAGTTGAAGTTAATCACATTGTCTAAAGCAGGAATATCAATTCCGCGGGCAGCCACATCGGTTACAACTAGAACCTTCACTTTTCCAGTTCCAAATTTGGCGGCGTGAATTTTCCGCGCTGAAGGATCCAAGTTGGAGTAAATGTAGGTGTTGGTGATTCCTACTAGATCCAGAACCTGAAAAAAACCAGTAGATAGTCCATAAATTACGATCTCAAGCAGCCCAGAGCGGCCTTACCGAATGGATGTACTCAACGTGGTACTTTGTCGCCGCAAAAATAACGGTCTGCTGCTTGGAGTCGATGACAGTTTGAAGCAAAACCAGCAAAGCGGCCAGTTTTTCCTCCGGCCGCACTATGAAAAACTCCAGTTTTAGTTCGTCTGGAAGCTTGGATTCAACATCCAACCTGAAAAGTCGCTTTTAAACCCCCGCAAATATCGCTTAACTAACACACTGGAACCTTAATAAAACCGGATCACTCAGTCCAGCCTTAGCAAACTCCACCAGCACTTTGGGCAAAGTAGCGGAAAACAGCAAAGTCTGTCTAGAATCGGGCAAACGACTTACTACTTCTGTAAGTTGCTCAGTGAGCCCCATTTCAAACAACCTGTCCGCCTCATCAAACACTACATACTCTATGTTATTGAGCTTCAGTTCCATCTCGATGCAAACGTGAAGAAACCGACCTGAAAGTGGGAATTTTAGCCTAAAATGAAACAAAACTGTTGGTTGGTTTACCGGGAGTTGCCACTATAACATCGGGATTTCCATGAATGGCGGAAAACTGGTCTTCCATTGAATCTCCTCCAAGAATAACCGCCGCTTTAAGGTTCATGAAACGGCCGATTTCTTTGAAGAACTTCAGAGTCTATAAGGAAAACATTTGATTTAACGCGCTGAATGATTCGTCAGAAATACCTCTATTTAGAAAGTAGGAATTTCACTTGAAGAGTGACAAGGCAGAAATGTGTCGAAATGAAGGTATTTCGTCTTAGTTTTTCTCCTATCTTTTTAATGGTTAGGAATTCCCGATAAACTACATTCAGTAAAAGTGCCTCTGGCGAAAAGGTCCTTATGATAAACGCGGCAATTTCAGTCATTCCTTATAGGTATAATTGGAAGCAATAAAAATCTTCACTTTTGGGGGCTCATTCAAAGGCGATTTAAACGCCTTTAACAGACTCCTGGTCCAATCCAAACTCGACATCAACGCCAAGTTTCAGCTCGATATCGTGAAAATGCGGCGAGAAACTCATACGGACTGCGAAACATGGTTTTTTCATCAGCAAAATCTTTACATTTTCATAGAAACCAGCATGCATTTAAACCCCAATTCAAAGGAAGCATCCTACATGCAACCTAGATTTTATGGGGATTGTTTTATGGCGCCCTAAAAGCGAAACGAACCTGCAGGGCTAATTCCCTGGTAGGGGAGAAGACGAGGCCACGGGCCCCTGCCTTTGAAGTGCGGGCTTTCAGTCGCTCGAACATTGGAATTAGAAAAGCGGCTGTTTTCCCACTACCTGTCCTGGCCATGGCAACAACATCCCGGCCTTCAAGAATCAGTGGAATCGTCTGCAAAAATCCAATTATTACACTTAATACTACTGGAAACCTGACTCCAAGCGCCACCTTTCTCTGTATGGGCGTCGGTTGTTTGTAGCCCCTTTTTATGATGCCTTTCAATACGTTATGGCTCAGATTCATCGACTGGAAGCCCCCCGACTTTTTGGCGGATTTTTTCTTCCATGCGTCGTCATCATTGGAAATTTCCACCGCCTTATTGGGGTCGGCAAAGCCCGGTATATCTCCCATTGATCTATACTGCACTGACCATAGAACAAGGCTTATGGCACGGCTATAAACAAGGCACTGACCATAGATGAAGACAAGTTGTGCCACTTGACATCAGTTAGGTTATGTTCATGTAGTGGGCACATGTTCTTCTTGATCTGAGAGAGAGAAGGCAGACACCTATAGTGGACGTAGTTTTATTTTTTTCTTCGTCACTTTTGTTAAATTGGGTTCAAGACCAAAAAAAGAACTCGAGTTGGGAAGGATAGTTATTACAAAAACCATAAATACAAAATATAATTATGATTCCATACATTTGGTGTTTTGTTAATACTTAAAAAAAATCAATCTCCACTTAAATTCCTGTTAAATGCCGCAAGTTCAAAAACGCGTAGTAGAGGCGAATTTTAAACAGCGCCCACATTTCCCCAAGCGACACTTTCAGTTTTTCAACTCGAGTGTGGCACTTTTTGTATCTTTGGTCGTAAATCGAATGAACGCAGCACTGCGACATAACTTTAAACGCGCCCTTTCTAGCCCCTGTCCGCAAAGTGTGCTCAATACCTGCAACCAATTTCTGCATTTAAACAAAAACTTGATAAAAACAGTCAAAACTCACCGCGCATGAGGTCGTTGGTTTTCAAAATGAGCAGCATTTGCCGATTCACGTTCTCTAAAACCGATGAAATCTGGGGCAGCAGCCCGGTAAAGTGCTGTTGTACAAAGTCCTTCTCTCCTTTCGAGAAATTTTCCCTGAAATTTTATATTTTTATAGTCCAAACTGGCTGCAGGGTTTGCGCCAACCTGTCGATTCCTTTCATGATAGTATCCCAAGTCCTTCCGGTCACCATACAGGCGAACAGTCCATACACATCTCCTTCTATTCCTAGATTTTTGCTGTATTGCCGCATTCCCTTGCGGTCCCGATCCAGAATACTCATCCACAAGTTGGCATAGTTTATCCGAAATTCGTCTTTTAAAGTCTAAAAGTTGCGCTGAGTCAATTAAATGCGGGGGGCTTATTGATATGCGTAAAGCAGCTTTCAATTAGCTGCATCCATAATTTTTACGAATACAGAAGCAAAAATGTCCAAATTGAGCGCGCTTCAATGTTTAAAGCACTGCATTTTAGAAACGGTTTGAAATATCCTTAAATTTCACTAATTATTCCCCTAATTATTATATAAATTCCCACTTCCAAAGAGATAGAAGCAAAAATACGTATCGCCTTTGGCCCACTTATAAGCTCGAATAAACGTTTGCTCTCTTCGAAAGAGCTTTTAGAACAGTCATGCTCTGACCGCAGCAACAAATCAGATTTCCACCCGAAACTCTGGGGTTGAAACAAAAACTTACCGCATACAATCCATGATCCAGCAACACAATGTCGCATTGACCTTTCGGATTCCTTCTCACCAAAATGTTGCCTGGATGTGGATCGCTGTGCACAAATCCGTGTATGAAAATCATTTGCGAATATAATGCGCCCAATTTGCTGGATATTTCATATGGGTCGATTTTGTGCGCTTCGATGTATTTCAGATCATTCACTTGCCCGCCTTCCAGAAACTCCATTGTGAGCACGCGAGGAGTGGTGAGGTCCCATCTGCAATAAACTGCGTCCCGTAACTCCTCAACATACCGACATTCGGTGCTTTCTTACCGAACTTTCGGCACTTTGAGCCATTCAATGTTCTCGAACATTTTGGCGATTTTCTCGGCGTTTTGGCCCTCTTGCGCAAAATTCAGCTCCTGCGGGATGTTCTTTTTGGACTCGTCCACGAGCCACTGGAACTTAAACTCCGGGAATACCCAGCTCATCAGTTTCACCAAATATTCCATGGTTTTCATGTCGATGCGTGAATTGCCTACACATATGGGTCTGATAATGGCCAACGTGCCTTTGAACTTTACACAATAACGCTAAAATACCTTGCACGTAAGGATGTTGGACTTTCACTGCTAAAACCGTGCCATCTTTGAGCGTTGCCTTGTGCACTTGAGCTAGAGAAGCTGTTCCTAAAGGTTCAGGCTCTATGGACTCGAATATTTCCAAGGGCTAAAAAGGACACAAGTTCAGAATATTGCCTCTATTTGAGAAACTTGCTTACGTCTTTCTTCAAGTCTTCCCTGATCACTCGGTAAATGTCTTTGACATCAGTACTGGGGGCTTGACTGTGCAGAATCCTCATCGTCTGCACATATTCCTTAGGCAGCAAATAATCCAGAGCCGCTATGTGCTGGCCCACTTTAATATACACTCCCCTGTTCGCACAGCACAGCTCCAGAAGCTTCTCAGCCGACCTCTGGTGGCATTCCGACTACAAAAACAACCCGTTAACAGGACGGACTTTGAATAGCCAAAGCAACTTACCTTTAACTCTTTGTACTCTAAAGACTTCTTATCCAGGCCTTTGCCATACAGGTCCTTTTTGTAAATCACACCGATTTTTGAGACAGTTATCGCTGCCCTGCTTAGACGCACAATTCCAATGGAGTCCCATTCGTATTGGTTGCCTTTCAAGCTCAGGGCTGTGCTGGCCAAAGCCCCCCCAATCAGAGAGTATTTCAGCAGCTTTCGCGCCCGATTAGAGAGCATTTTCGGCTAGAGGCTGACCCTAGACAAAAGCACAGGCTGGTGTTAATAGAGAATGGACCTCTAGGAGAAATTGCGGTCACTGTAAAAGAATTTGTGCCACTTTCCACTTCTAAGCTTGCACAGTGCTTGCCTTATTGTGTCAGTTAATCCAAATTAACTGGGGCTTTGGGGGGTCAATTTTGTAACATTTTACTCTTATGTAATTATGAGCAAGATAAAATATAATGTAAAAATACACTTCCAAACCTGGAGAGTAAATAAACTGGCAAACTAGGCTAAATTTGGTTAGTGGCACTTCTCTACTTCACCGTCAGCCAACAGTTGCTTGTGTCATGCGCCATTAGTGATGTCGTAATGACATTTGATGTGTTGCGGTAGGTCAGGTTTTTAATCTAAACACTGAGCCTTTTTCATCGGTATATCGGTATTTTAGGATTTTCTGATTTTCAGTGTCTTTAACGTGTTAGGGAAGTGTGTAAAGTCGATTTATTGCTGTGGCATATGGTTTGAAACATCTCAAATAGTTTAGGTAAGATCTTTAGCGTAGCTTCTCGGAAATATATCGATTTAACTTTATCATTTTTATGTTGTCTTTACAGCATCAAGAATATTTAGTGGTTTCCAACTGCAGAATTACATTTTCGGGCAAAAAGTAAGATATACATAAACAAAAGGTATATATATATCGATGTATATTCAAATAGAATCTTATTTTTAAACTTCAGTGACAGAAAAGCATATCATAAAGTTCAGTTTTATAGCAATTGTTTTTGAACTAGACGCCAAACAATTAGCTTGAGGAGAAAACTCTTACACCAGTGGACATGTGGAAAAGTGTTTATTTATGGGAATTGCCAGCCTCATCAAGGAACAAGGAAGAGCAAGGCAGCATGTACTTGCCCCAGGGAAACACTGTGCCTTTATCTATGCACTGTGCTACTCACATATGGTAGCACTTTTATATCACGCACATTACAATGTTAGTGCGACGGACATTGAGAGCTATTGGAATACCCCCTGTTCTATGCCCAGCGAGGAAAAAACTGTTAAATTAATTAACTTATAATGCTTGCGGTCTGGAGCCCAGCACTTCTGTGAACTTGAATGAATGAGTTCTATGAACAAGGCTTATTGGGATAAGGAAAGGATTGTATCGCAAGGGGTAGCTGATAATAGGGATAAATGACACAACTACACAAAAATACATATAAATAGATATATTACTTGTTGTTTATTGTTTACATAAATACTTTTTACAGATAAAAAATCTTTGGAGCATTTTTAAGAATAAGTCTTACATCTAATTACATCCTTTATATGATATTGCCTAACTGTTTACAATAATTAAATATTTATATTTGTAATACAAACTATGGGAACAGTCCGTAAAATAAATTCTGCTTTGTAGAGCTTCCAAAATATTCGCAATTACATTATTTGTTTGAAAATCCATAAAAAATAGATGTAAATATACATTTCACTTAACTAACTTGAACTTTTTATTTTTTTTATAATTGTTTAAATAAATACGTTTTGCAGTATTAATTCCAAATCGTTCGTTTCAAATCATTTCGTTAATTTCAAATCATGGGGGCAGTCGGTAAATGATATTCTGTTTTGTAAATTTTCCTAAGTATAGGCAATTACGTTACTTTTATGAAAATTTCTGTAAAAGATATATTTAATTATTGATAACGCTAAACACATTTTGTTTAAAAAGGTTTTGCTTACATATCTTAATCTTCTCGTCCCGTCATATTCTTTAAAATATAGAAAGTCTCTGCAATCTTCAGTTGGTGTGTTGTCGGTTTTTTTATACAAATAACCTGACACATATTTTAGTGCACTAGCTTCAATAGACTTTACCGAAAGTTTATTATTGGTTGGTACCATGGTGTATATCTCCTTTATAGATTCGTCATCATCTTCTGGCAAACCCTAAAAAAACATCGTTTTTTAGATCTATGTAAATTCTACAGGGTGTTTGGTAAGTAGATGCATTCCTTGTAGGGGGTGATAGTGCAAGTAATTTCAGATATATGTTGTTAATAGACCAGGTTCCGAAAACCATTAGTTTCCGATCTACAGGGTGTTAAAGTTTTAATAACAAAAATGTTGTTTATTAATATTTCGGAAACCGCTTGGAATATTATAATGAAATTTGACAGGTCTTAGGCAACTAACAACAATACACGTTTTGGGATAAAAATGTTGTTTCTATCTTTTCCAGTGGGGTGGGTACAGGCACCTCTGAAGATAATTTTAAATAGAAAAATGTTACGCCACTGATTTTTCTAAAAATAAATAATATTTGTCAAGTTCCTGTTCAATTTGGAAGAGAAAAGGTCTCTAGACTTTTTGAAGTGATAAACTTTTTATGGGAGGGTAAACCGATTTTTGTCGGTTACGGCGGCTCCCCCTCCCGCCTCTTCGCGCCTGAGGCTTGGGACGCACATATGTAGTTTCAATTCGACATTTTTCTCTTAGTGTGGGTGCATCCGTAGATCTGATAAAATTTTCAAATACACATTGCGTTATTAAACTGACAGTGATATTGATTTATCAATTATTGAGTGTGATATTATTGTGTCTGGTGCAGTTTATTTTATAACGCTGATCACATTGATTCAACAAATTATCAAGGGAGAAGCTGCAGATACTGCAAATACTAGGTTAAAGGTGCTCATGTACTAAATGCCTGTGCGAGTTTCGCCTTCTTCTAAATTTTCAATTAAAGTACACACACAATTATACACACTAAAGCAGTTTAAGAGCAAAAAATGCGGATCGTCCATAAATTAGCAGAAAAATGTATTACAAACTTTTGAAAATCTTCAAACGACCTAGTATTTATCCTTGCAAACGAGATTGCACATTTGCATTTTGCATATTGCCGTGCACTGTTAAATATTGTTTTAAGAACTAACAATGGATGTTGTGCAACAAAATTGTGCCTAAGATCCACTACAATAAAGTTTTTGAAAAACTGTTGGACCTATTTTAAATCGCCTGATTGATTGTGGACGC